GAAGAGGGGCTGGGGGGGTGTGGGGGGGGGGGGGGAAGCGAAGAGAGAAGGGGTTTAAATTTTAAACCCCTTCTCTCTGGAATCGCACTGCAGAAGTGGCGCGATCTCTCCATTCTACTCTATGGGGCCATTGTATTCCATTGTATTCTATGGGGCGTGACTCTAGACTGAAGGAGCTTGGAGGCGGGGAGCTGGGGGCGGGGCTTGCCACCACCGGGGCTGTCGGAGCAGTGCTCCGGCCCCAAACAACCCCTGGTTATACACCTCAGTTCAATGACTTTTTCTTGTATTGTATTTCTGTTAATAAAGTTTCTTAAAATTAAATAAAAAATTAAAATGACTGCAACTGACTTTCCCTCATTGGTATTCTTCTGGTTGGGTGCTAGGTTTTAGATGTAACTTGCATTTTATATATATATTGCTTTCACCTAGAAAGATATAAATGTCTTGGATATCATGGTGAATTAACAGTATCCAGTTGAAACAGTGAAGACAAGAAAGATTCTCAGTTACACACTTTTTCCAGACAGTCACCATTGGGTACATTTCTCTACAGACATAACAAGTGTTTGTTCAGGTAAATTTTTACTATCTGGAGATGAACATGTTTAATACAATGATTACCAACGATTACTAGCACTTTATTATGGTTTTAGAATTGTTTTAATCGTAACGTATGTTGTTAATGTAATTGTCTGTTTTATGCAAGCTGTCCTGAGATGGCTCTGGCTGGGAGGGCAGGGTAAAAATTCAAATAAGTAAGTAAGTAAGTAAGTAAGTAATCTAAATTGAGAGATTTTATTCGTCACCTAATTCCTTGCTTTAGTACAATTCCCTTCCATGTGGTTTTTGTCCCTAGAGTTTCAATGATCCACAGCAAGGAAAGGGGAGCCCCTCTCCCTTTTTCAGGAATGAAAACCCTGGTTGGATCAGGCTGTGCATGTTTATCTTTTTCCTGCTATTTAAAAAACCATCAGGATTTTTTTTTACCCCCCCCCCAAAAAAGGAAGATATTTCTGATCCTTCAAAGTTGGAAGAGGTCAGAAATTCAAATAACACAGTCAATCAACCAACAAGATGAGTTGCTTTAAACCATACATTGTAAAAAGGTGTACAACCCAAGTGTAAGTTAGTAACACAGCTTAAAAGTCAAAATATTGACTGGAAGAGCCAATTATTGGCAGGGCTGTCACCAATGCGGCATTTAGGTCATAGAGTCTTTGTAACAACAAACTACATTCACCTGTACAAAATTCTTTGTAGTATTTCTAGCTGTCACCGCAATAATAGCAATTTTAGATATAATATACTTGGTTGGTTCAATGAGAAAAGCATGCTTTGGCAAAGTCATCCTGAAATATTGTGTCAGGAAGCAGTAAGAAAGTTAAATAAAAGGTTGAAGCAACCACTGCTGGACAAGTATAACCTTTTTCAGCTTAGTTTCAGTGAGGATTCAATGAGATTACCCTGAAATAAAGTTTTAAATTAAAGGAGCAGTAAGCTATTAGAGAAGTCAGAAGTGCCTCATCTTTCCCTTGTAGTTCTATCTTCTTGACCATTAGGTAGTTACACATTTTTAGGTATATAAAATCTTACACCATATTGCCTATGAAACATTCACTGTAAGAAGACTGACCAGCTGTGAAAGCGAATACTTTAAATGTTCTTGCTGGAGGGAAATAGCTCACACAGTGAGATGTTCTACATTCCATAATGCAGTGAGAAGTAAGGTTATACTGAAGATTCAGCATTTCAATTCATGCTTCAAAAATTACTTAATTAAGTCTGAGGTTGCTAAGCAGACCATGCCTTGTTTTATGGAATAATTTGAATCCAAATGCTTGAAGGTTAGAGGCAGCATACAGTCGAATAGACGGATGGCCAGACTGCACTCAGAAGCCCAGGCAATAATGCAGTCCTAAATAGGCTTAAATATAACGAAACGTCTGAGTTCTAGGCTTAAATATAACAAAACGTCTGAGGTGCAGCCTGCCTAACCAAAACAGGGCAATTGGGGATGGAATTAAATTCCTTAATCTGGGTAGCCCAATTTATCACCTCCCCATACAAAACTCCTAATGAAGAGCCCCTTCTCCTTCCCTTCCAAATAGGGTCGCCAACCTCTAGGTGGTGGCTGGAGATATCCTAGGATTACAACTGATCTCAGGGCGACAGAGGTCAGTTCACCTGGAGAAAATGGCTGCTTTGGAAGGCAGGCTCTTAGCATTCTATCAGTCCCTTGCCGCACCAAGTCCCACCCTCTCCAGGCTCTACCCACCAAGTCTCCAGGTATTTCACAACCTGGTGCTGGCAACCCGGCTTCCAAAAATACCTGGAGGCAGCAATGGGCAGAAACAGAATTTGTACTAGGTTCTACATGCTAGCTTGCAGAATCCAGGGCATAGTGGTTCTAAAGGAGCACAGATCTGCTGTGGGTGTGTATGTTTAGAGGCTTTTGCACAACAACCAATACTTGTGGATTCTCTGCTTTTGGACAGAAAACCTGTAAATGACATTAATCAATGTCTTCTGTGCAGAGCAGACACACACTGGACTGTGCTTGGGCAGGCCTGCCCGGGACAGTTTTTTCTAGCTTGATACCATCAAAGGGGGGAACCCCTCCCCTTTGGAGCTGATGTGATGGCATTTTCACACCCAAACCATCATGTGCTCTGAGGGGGGATGTTTTCCCCCCCTCACCCTCAGTTCCTTTGAAGCTGCCGCAAAACTCTCAACAGGAAGAACCCAGGATAGCTCATAGCGGGGCAGGAGAGATGGAACGTGTGTCCACACAGAAGACATTGATGAAATCAGTTACAGGAGAAGGGTGATGCTCTCATTGGAACAACAACTGGAGGGCCTATTTGCCAAGCTCTGCATCCCTCCTAGTGTGTAGTGCTTGACAAATGTGTCCTCAGCCACCCACGTTGCAACCTTACAGATGCCCATGATGGGTACTCTGCGATGGAAAGTGGCCAAGGATCTTTGTGCCCTCATGGAGTGAGCCTTAACCTCCAGTGGACAGAGCTTGCTAGAGGTCTCATAACAGGACCTGATAGCTGCCATGACCCACCTAGCTATGGACTGTGAAGAAGCTGCCCTGCCCTTCTTAGGACCTGCACAACAGACAAATAGACTCTGGTCTACTCAGAAAGGTCTTGTCCTGACACTATAATATAATCAGGCCTTCCTGACATCTAAGGAATGTAAGGCTTTTTCCACCTTGGAAGGAGGGGATGGGGAAAAGACAGGCAAAACCACCTCTGAGCAAGGTGGAACTTAGAAACCACATTGGGCAGAAACTCTAAACTAGGGTGTAACACGGCCTTCTCATTGAAGAGCTTCAGGAAAGGTGGGCCGCTAACTCACTCATCCTCCTAACAGATGCCACTGCTACCAGAAATGCCATCTTCCTTGACAGCAAAGCCAGTGAGCAAGAGGCCAAAGGCTCAAAACCGGAACCTCTGAGACTCACCAGGATCAAAGAGAGAGACCACTGCGGAACTTGGAATTTGGAACCGGGGGGGGGGGGAACGGGACATTAACTAGGCCCTTAAGGAAGCATCAGGACAGCTTGTGGGCAAACAAAAGAACCTTCAACCAGATCATGGTATGCAGAAATGGCCGCCAGGTGAACCTTAACGGAG